TGTCTGCCTCAGTCCTAGAAAAAGGAAGGGCCTCTCCAGACCTGCTGCAGCAGGTGAATCAAGCCCCCAGTGCAGCCGCCCACCAGCTCTCTGCAGGCAAGCCCAGCTTCCTTCTGCCTGGTGTGGGCATGGGGACCACAACCATGACCATAGGTCAGTGCTGGTGGCCCTGCCTACAAGTTCTCCGATAATCTTGGGTTGCAAAGACCAGGGAGGAGGAAGGGGTAGGGGTAGGGGGACCAGTCACAGGGTCAGACTTTTCTAGGTGGCCCTAAGGGGGCTTGAGGTTTGAGGTCTAGGGGCTTGGGGAGCAATTGTTTGCCCTGGGGGAAAGACTTTGTTCTTGTGCTTCTCTTGTTTTCCTGTTTCAGTGGAGGAGTGGGAGCAAAAGGGAAGAGCCCCACCCAGGCCTGGGATGTGAGCCCCGCTGGCACTTTAATGGCTACTGCCTGGGATCTACTGAAGGCCACTCAGTACTCTTTCTGGCCTGGCTCTTCTTTCCCTGTGCCGCCTTATGCTCCCCAGGGGTCAACTGGAAGCAGAGGCTGGCTTTCCTGAAGCTGAACCTACTTGGGCTAAGGAAGGGGTGGAGGGTCCTCAGATAGTAGCCCTGGCTTAGGGCCACTCTGGCTGCTGACAGAGAACAGGGAGGAGGGCTGGGCTTCAGCAGGGGTATGTGCCCTTAGAGGGAGCCTCCTGCCCTGTGCCTTCCTGCTTAAACAGTTTGCAGGCTTGGCAGTTGTCCTTATGGTGCAGGTGTGGAGGCCAGAGAGGACCCAAGGCTCCAGATGGTTGTAGGGCCAGGCAAGGACAGAACCTGTAATTTGGCCTGCAAACCGAAACCAGGGAAACTAGGTAAAGCTCGACCTCCTAGGAGGCCTGGATTCTTAACCTCTGGAGGTGCAAAATTAGGGCAGAGAGCTTTTTGGAGCTGCTGCTTTGCTGACAGCACAAGAGGCAAGGCATTCTCTCTGGCTGGATTTGGGTTGCGGCCCAGATATCTGCCCTTGCTGCTGAGAATGCAGATAGATATATGTTGCCTTGTAGGCAGAGGCAGGGGAGGGGAGAGGCCTGGGGGCTAAGTGGCCAAGGGGCTGGCTCCAGACCAGAGCGTCTGAGGGACAAGAGATGCATCCTTGTGGCAGTTTCATCCTTGTGCAGCCATCACAGGGCACCCTGAACAAACTTAGGTCGTACCGCCTTCCATGTACCCACACTGTGTGGCACGGCCTACGGCTCCATGCTGCAGTCTGTGGTGTGACTGCTGAGCACTGCAGGCAGCCGTGGCACAGCAATAAGTGTCAGCACAGAGAAGGCTCAGCAGTATGGCACCACAGTCCTACCACACAATGTGGTCTGCCGTGACCAAAAGCTGGCTAGGTGGTGTACAGCTGCGGCTTCTCTGTGGCTGGCCATTCCTTGTGCAGGATGGGGTGGTTGCACCTGCTTTAACAGTGTCGTTGGCAGGATCCACTTGAGAACGCAGGGGAAGGGTGTGGCCTGGGGTGTGGTGTTCAGCAGGGGTATGGGGAGGGGACAGTACTGTGGCCAGTGCCATTGCTGGCAGTGGCACCATCAGAATTGGAAGGAGCTGTTTTTGTAGTAGGTTGTCAGTATGTCCACAGACCTGTCCTCCAAGAGCCCTGCTTGGAAGCGAGGCATAAATGTCATTTACAGAGTTAGTACCACGTCCTCACATAGTGCTGGTGGGAATGGAGATTGGGAAGTAGTTGGGCATTTCCTCAGAGAGTTAAACAAGGAGTTACCCTCAGACCGGCATGTCTGCTCCCGCATCTGGGAGCAGTGGACATGTACCAACCACACAGGTCCTGCACAGTGTCTGTAGCAGCTCTGCCTATCTTGCCAGAGTGGGAACATCCCAGTGTCCGTCAGCAGATGACTGGACACATGAAATGTGGTATAGCCACATGGTGAATGTTATTCAGCCATCCCAGTGAAGTGGTGATACATGCTGCAGTGGTGATGTGCCTTGGAGTTTTGCTAAGTGGAAGAGGCCAGACACAGAAGGCTGCGTGTTGTATAATAACAGAATTCCACTTGTATGAGAGATCTAGACGAGATAAAGATACAGAGGCAGAAAGCAGAGGGATAGCTTTGCAGTCTCGAGGGACCGTGTTGGGAGCTGTGTCAGATTCCCAGCGATCCTGGTGTCTTTCTTTCACGCTTTGTGACTTCTGTGTGACTCTGAATGTGCTCAAAGCCACTGAATTGTATATCTTAACTAGGCAAATTGTATGGTATGTGAATTAATCTCAATAAAGTTATTAAAAAGAAAAGTTAATACTAGGGTTAACTAAAAATGAGGTCACCTGGTTTCAGAGCAGGAGGTTTAAGCTGTTTCTTCGTACTCCATGGGAAGCTCTGTGACCCGTGGGAGCAGATTGGGTTTTGGGTCAGTTTTCCTGTCCTGGATGACTATTACTTGGCTTTTGGCTGTGCCCTCTTCTGTGTCTTTTATAGGATTAGGTAATGCCCATCTTACAGGGAGGATTATTAAAGGGGGCATGAGGGAGACTATAATTGCAGGGTCCTGACACAGTGAGCGAGTAATATGAATTTCTCTCAATCCTGGTTTAGGTTGCTATGTCTTTGCCTTTCACTGATGCTTCTGAGACCCTTTTTGGAAGGAGATGGAACCCCCATTTCACACGTGTGGAAGCTGAGAGGCAGAGAGGGTGTGAGTGTTCCCTTCTACTCCTGGAGGAGGCTGAAATGCAGGGCCATGCCCAGCAGCAAGGCTGGGTCTTTGGCTGGGGACCAAGTGCCCAGTGAAACAGCTGCTGTGCAAGAGGGGTGTGCTTGCAGGCTTTGTGCTGATGGGCAGTGTGGTGACATTGAACCCAGGGGCAGCAGCCTCACATGAAGCCTGTGCCCCAGGGCCCTGAGGGTGATCCCTGATAAGGAAGTAATAAAATTTCTGTTGCTGTGCTCTGTTTTCCCCATGTAACCTATCTTTGGATGTGTGCATTGTATGTTATATTTTGTAAAGGTAGGCTCGTGGTGCAGATAGAAACTTATCCAGGGCATGTGTTGTCAGTGGCAGGAGACCCAGGGCCCAAGGACTGGGGTGGGAATTGATGGCTGGAGAGGAAGAGTCACCCTGGAAAGTGCCTGGCTGTCCCCTGTCTTTCTGTGATTGCTCCTGGCTCACTCTGATGATGAATCTGTAGAGTGGTGGGCCTGGAGCTTTAAGCCCCACATCAGCTAGTCCTCACATGGAATCTGTAGAGTGGGCCTGGTGCTTTAAGCCCCATATCAGCCTACATACTGTCCTCTCACTGGCCCATGGTATCAGTTTCCTTGTTTTTCAAACAGGAGGCTCTGCCTTTGAGAAGGAGGCTCCTTGGCAATGCTGGGGTTGTTCTTCTGTGTGTGGGCACCCAGCAGAGCAGCCTTAGTGTGGCCTGCCAGGGTCTGGACAGGCAAGGGCTACAGCTGGGGAGAGGAGGTAGGGACGGCCAGAACCAAGGTGCTACCCATCTGCTTGTGGGGTTAGTGCTCTGTGTGGACCTCCCCAGCCAGAAGGCAGTTGGGATGTGGATCTAGGCCCTTGCCCCCTGCTCCCCACAGACCTCTCCACTACTTGGTTGGAGGGCAGCCCCACCAGGCTCCCAAGAGGGTTAGGGAGAGGCCCCTATAGGCTCCTACACTGATGGAGAACACTGGGCAGCTCCTCATACCCCCTGGTGTCAGTGCAGAGGTTAGAGCCTTCCTGTGAGCCTAGCCCTGCCACCTCCATTCTGAGCTAGGCTCACAGAGGGGGCCTGAGGCCCCATAGGAGAAGACTTTGTAGAGCTGGACACAGAGTCTGCACATGGCAAGTGCTCTGCCACCCCAGTGCCCATTGGGCCTGCCTCCTGTACATGGACATCAAGGGATGTGCAGGTGGGTCAGAGGAACTCATAGGCTAGCTTGGTGGAAGTAACAGGAAGAGCCTACGGACTTGAGCTCAACCTGCACCTGACAAGTAAAGAGAGAGGCCTGTGGGGAGTGGCTGGTCTGAGCACAGTGTGGGGGCCAGACCCATGTTCTGCACCCACGTCCTGTTCTTCAGTGGGCAGCTCCCAGCCAGGCAGTGGTGGAGGCTGCCCGACTGCAGGCCCCCCAAATGGCTACTGTTCATCTCCCAAATCCAATGAGCAAGTACCTGCTTCTCCAGGAAGGGTGACCGTGGAAGTTGTGGGCTCTTGGGTTCGGCTTGGTGGAGAAGCTGGTAGCTTCCCCAGAGGCAGCTGTACTGTGAAGCACCGTCAGTACAGAGGGCTCAGGGCAGCGGGAGCCAGGGACAGCATGCCTGGTTGCAGCCATGTGACCTGTCTGCTTTCCTAAAGCATCCTTGCATCTGGAGAGTGAGAGGCCCAAGATGTGGGACTTGATGTCTTCAGATAGCCTTCTGTAGCCCCTTTGTTTTAGCAGGTTTCTCAAAGCCTTCCTTTCCTTTTTTTTGGTCTTTTCTCCCTAATTTCAGTGTCATAACAACTTTTGTTGCTATAAGAAAAAGTTAGGAATTATCCTGGCCGGACAGCCCTTATCGAGCTGCTCTGGGCCCAGGAGGGTGCCGGTGGGCTGCCCTGCCTACAGCCTGCTTCCTGGGATGTGGCTCTCTTCCAGCCTCCTCCTTCTCTAAAAATAACCTTGCTGTTTTAAAAACACTGCCCTGCTCTCTTAGGATCAGCAGTCCTTTGAGACCAGGATCTTGGCTGCCATTGTCCTCCTCCAGCTGTCTTCTTCCTGTCGCCCCCTTCCCTCTTCTATGAGTGGGAGATTGTCGTCCTAGCAGGAAGGGATGTCCAATTGGGTGTCCTCTGGGGAGATCCTGGCCTGGCCTCGCCCAGATCCTGGCTGGGTGTATAGAATCTTGAGAGTCTGGAGGAGGGAGGCCAAGGGTGAGGAGGTCTGGGGTTGCCCTGGGGCTGCAGGACACCTGTGCCCTCTCTGACTGGCCTCTAGGGACTGACTCTGGCATTGTCTTCTTGCAGCCCACGACCCTCCCTCAGGGCACCATCAACATGAACCAGTGCACAGATGTGGTGGATGGGGAGGGCCGCACAGGCCAGAAGTTCTCCTTGTGCATCCTGACGCCTGAGAAGGAGCATTTCATCAGGGCAGAAACCAAGGAGATCGTCAGCGGGTGAGCGTGCTTGGGCTGCAGGAAGACACACTTCTTGACCACCCTCGGGTCCAGACCACTTGGGGCCATGTGCTGGTGGTTGGGTCGGTGTCATTGCTCTCTTCCCCACATGTCTCTTCTTCTCAGCATCCCTATGCTCTTCCCTGTCTCCTTACTCAGCATCCCTATGTACGCAGTCACTGCTCCAGAAACTAGACTTGGTTTCTGCACATTCACTGCGGCTGCCACTCATGTCCTTTAGACTCTGAGGCCTCCCTCATGGTCCCAGGCCGCTATACCTTTCTTAGGCCTGTTCACTGGCCTCTGTACCCCCATTCTCACTGTATCCCCAACTCCCCTGTCAGTCTACACGCAGGGAGATAAGTCCACAAACGATTTCCAATGTTGCCCCACTCCCATCTCATCCCCATCACCTGCAGGGTTGATAGAGTTCTAGTTCCCAGCCCACCCCCATAACCATTGCACACTATCCCCAAAGACTTGCTGGGCTCCATCTTCTGTGGAAGCTCAAGATGGCCTCAGTACATATGGTCTTCCTTAGTGTTGGCCCTGAGGGTAGTGTGTCTCAGTCCCTTGTATTTCACGGATGACCCCTTTGCTGTTGCTGCGCCAATTGGCTCTTTTGTCCAAGTAGAAAGAATGGACCTTTCTTCTTCTCTCCACTCCTCTGAGAGTAGGAGGAGGGTCATGATGCAGCCCAAAGTCCTAGCTCCTGTCTGCTGAGCTCATGGTGGCATCTGCCTTCTGAGTACGCCCAGCCCAGCATGGGGGGCACTTGGTACACATGGACTATGAGCGGGGCTATAGTGTAAAGCCACATATCCCTGGCTTTGCAGGGTCTGCAGAGGTGAGCAGGTGCATCAGGCCTGGCCAGGGAGCAGGAGCTGGGTCTTGGCGAAGCCCTCTCATCTTTTCATGGCTGATAAGAAGGCAGGAAGTATATCTAGGGGTGTTGGGGGTCAGGCTGTCTGTAGCCATGCCCAGCAGACAGAATCAGGGACACGGAGCCCATTAGTTTGAGCACATGGGAGGTTTCCTTGAGCATGGCCCTGGCCGAGGCCCATGAGCAGGGATGCACTGGCAGTGGGCAGAAGTTCCAGTCCATGTGCTGAGGGTGCCGGGGGCTAGTGTGGGGGCACCCTCTGTTGGGGTGCCATGCTCCAAAGTCCTCCTTCTGGGGACATGCTAGAGGAGCACTTTGTGTCTGTTCCTGATCTTAATCTTGAACCCTACCATTTAAGAATATTAGGGCTCTGAGCAGTGCCTGTGGCTCAGTGAGTAGGGCACTGGCCACATATACTGAGGTTGGCGGGTTCAAACCTGGCCCCGGCCAAACTGCAACAACAACAAAAATAGCCGGGTGTTGTGGAGGGTGTCTATAGTCCTAGCTACTTGGGAGGCTGAGGCAAGAGAATCGTCTTAAGGCCAAGACTTGGAGGTTGCTGTGAGCGGTGATGCCATGGCATTCTACTAAGGGCAGTAAAGTGAGACTCTGTCTCTAAAAAAAAAGGATATCAGGGCTTCTCCAGAACTCTCATTAGGCAGTAGAAGGCCCAGGGCCTAGTGGTGGGAGCCTGTCTGGGGTACCCTCTGCACTCCGGCCTCACACATAGCCTGGGCCTTGGTCTGCCCAGATGGGTTCCCTAGGGAGCCTTGGACCTCCCTGTTGGAGCTGGGTCCCAAAAGGGTCTGGGTGACAGGTGGGATGGAAAGGGGATCTGAGGTCCCCAGGATGGGATGGGGAGTGTCCAGAGTGGTGCATTCTGAGACCAGGCCAGAAATAGACATGCTGTGTCCTTTGGTAATAGGAGGGCTGGCTCTCCCAGCAGGCAGCCTGAGTCCTGCTGGGTCCTTAGTCTCCTTCACCTCCTCTGCATGTGTAGGGCAAGGCATTCTATAGGGTCCAGGGCTTGTGTGGTGGTTTGGTAGTGTGTCCAGAGCCAGAATGAGCCCCCTCCCCTCCCAGTCCTGCTGGTTCTGGGCCTCGCCTGCCCCATTCCAGCAGACAGGTTCTTATGGTGGCAGCTTGGCTCAGCACCTCCTGTGGCCCAACAGCTTCTTTACCACCCCACATTCTGGAACACTTAGGCTCTTTAAGGCAGTTGGGGGGCTTCTGCCCCTGCCTTCTCTTCCACTTCCTCCGTCTCCCACCCTTGCAGACCCTTACCCCCCACCCCTCATGGCCTGTTGCCCATCACAGTTCATATGCCTGGTAATTTCATCCCTGGGCTCTGGGGCCCTGACATGGATCTGAGTGCTCTGAGCACAGCAGAGCCAGCCCCCAAGGAGTTACAGACCTCCCACCAGGAGATGGGAGCAGGGGAGTCAGGGACAGACCTGGGCAGGTGTGTCTCTCCCAGGCAGGTGGAGGAAGTTGGTATCTCTCTTTCTGATCCGCACATACCAGGAGGGGCCTGCGGGCTACTGGGGCCACACTTTACATAGCTCTTAGAGGAGGTAGGATTTGCATGGGAGCGGGCACATGAGGTTCTCTGTGCTCTGAGCAGGGGAAACTGCGCCACCCTGACCCTGCACTGCCTTTCATCTCTGCCTTCTGCCATTCTTACTCACCCAAGATTCCCTGACACCCACCAACCGCATCCATCCCTTCCTCTCTTCATGGAGTTTATTTTGTTAACACTTGTAGCATGTCTGGATGGTGTTAAGACATTTACTGGGCTTCTGTGAGAGAACCAAGTGCAGAGGACAGGCCCCATCGTGTGCTCCTGGACCCAGCGTCTCTCTGACTTCAGTCTGAATGGAGAGTAAGATGCCTAAAGGGACCAAGCTTCACATGACAACCCAGGCCCGTCACCACCGTCCCTTCTCCTCCTGGGTCTTTGGTTTTCTGGGGCCAACCCAGGAGAGCTCAGTACCTCCATTTTGCCAGCAACCACAGTGGCAACTCTGCTTTCTTTTTTCCTTGAGGCTCCATCCTGGGAGGCCTATTTTTTGTTTTGTTTGTTTGTTTTTTTGGTATATATATATTTTTTTCCTTATTTGATTTTTAGACAACTTCATTCTGTGGCCCAGGCTAGAGTGCTGTGTCATCATCCTAACTGAGCAATTTCAAACTCCTGGCCTTAAGCAATCCTCCTGCTTCAGCCTCCTGAGTAGCTGGGCCTGTAGGCACCTGCCACAATGCTTGGCTAGTTTTTCTGTTTTTAGTAGAGATGGGGGTCTTGCACTTGCTCAAGCTGGCCTGGAACTTCTGAGCTCAAGGGATCCTCCCAGCCTGCTAGGATTGTAGTTGTGAGGCACCATGCCCAGCCTGTGAGGCCTATTAGTAGTTGACAGCTGACAGCACCTGGATCCTGGGGAATGAGGTGACTTAAGAGTGGCCTTCTGCAGGCACAGCTCTTCCTGGTAGGAAGTCTTTGTTAAGCACTGTGAGTATTCAAGTTGCAAGCAGTGTGAGCACTCACGTTGCATTACCAAGGCTGTCTCCCAGTATCTTCTACTGCCAGACAACCTTGATGAGAAGGTCACCAGCAGTGGGCAAAGCCTGCCCCTCTGCTGGCTTAGCAGATGCACCCATGGAGAAGTGGCCTGCAGCACCTGTGGCGTGGGTCTCTGATGGCACAGGTGTTTGTCTTCATGGAACATTCAGCGTCACTGACTGGTCTGAGCCAGGCTGAGGGTAGCCCCTTAGCAAGCCCAGATTCCCTGGCCACCAGCTGTTAGCAGCATACTCTTCCTGAGTCTGTCCCACAGGCCAGTAACTGTGACTGGCCTGCCCTCTGTCCCTGCCCCAGTCTCGGCATGGTGTGGCATAGGCCCTGGTAGTCTGCACAGATCTGGAGCAGTGTCTCTTGCGGGCCTTCCTGGAGAGGACGCTGGGGCTGCTCTTGCACCACCAGGCCAGAGTTAGAGCTGGGGCTTCAGGGGCAGGGCCCCACTCCCCCCCTGCTCCCCTGTTCCCCAGCCTGCCTTCCTTCAGCCCTGACAGGACTGGCATGAGGTCCTGTCCTCGTGAGGCAGCCAGCTGCTGTTCAGCCCCTTCATTTGTTGTAGGGTCTGTGTAGGGGAAGCAGTGGCCATTGTGTCTGATCTGGCCCTACCCCTGATTTCAGAACTGGAGATTGACGCCCAGAAGGACTAGGATCTACCTGAGCTCATGGGTGGTGGCAGGTCAGATCCAGAGGCTGAGCTTCCTGCCTGCTCTTTTCCACCCTCCCCTGCTGCAGCCCTGGTGGGGAGTCCCTGGGCGTCTTTGCCTGGCCTTCCCCAAAGCCAGGGGCTAAGGCACCCACCCCTGCAGTGGGTGGTTTGGGGAGGTAAGCTGTTTAGTACCCATGACCCCCTTTCCTGCCTTGGGGCCAGCATCTGCCTCCGCAGCCCCATGTGGCTCCTAGTTACAGCCCATCTGTACTTGCCACAATCCATCCAGGGGGTGGCCTGGAGACAGGGTCAGTAACGGAATACTGTGGTCAGGCCTGCAGTCTGCATCATGCCTTGAGCCTACTGTGGTCACTGCAGGGCCATTGGCCTGGCTTGCTCTTCAGGGACTTGCTGTGTCTGGTGAGAGGGCTACTCTACGTGGGGCCTGGACTGCTCCAGCCTGGGCTGCAGAACATGGACTCAAGAGCCAGGTCTGACCTAGTGCTCTGTCCCCTGTTCTCCCAGGTGGCTGGAGATGCTCATGGTCTATCCCAGGACTAACAAGCAGAACCAGAAGAAGAAACGGAAAGTGGAGCCTCCCACACCGCAGGTCGGTGTCCCCTGGGTGAACCTGGGGCCCCGGAAGAAGAGAGATCTCTAGGGAGGTGAGGGTGTGCTGGGGGGGGGGCAAGTGGGGGTTGCAGCAGTTATCAGTCCACTCACTCTTCCTTCTCATGCTCCATGGGCTACAGTCTGCTGTGTCCTCTCTGAGCCACAGGACAGAACCCACAGCAGGGCAGGGTAGCCTGTGGGTGTGCCCTGGGGTGTGATGTGGGGCCAGCTGTAGTGCTGAGTGGTGGGTGGTAGGTGCTGAGTGGTGGATGTCCCCAGCTACTGGCAGGGGGAGCCTGCTGTACACACCTCAGGAAAGGACAGTGGGCTGCAAGGGAGTGGACAGGGGGAGTCCAGGGTGTCCCAGCAGAGTGAGGGGATCTCAGGGATCCTTGACTCTCAGGTGCCCTGCTGTCTATACCTCCTTGGGCTGTGTGTAGATGTGCCCACCCTGGGCTGCAGCAGAAGCCTCCATGCCCTGGAGTATAGCCGGTGCCCATCCTCAGCCCAAGGGTCATCCATCTGCCATCTTGGCATGCTCTGCCCAGCGTTTGCTAGAAGGGAGATGTCCCTGGCAAGGTGGCAGAAACGCACTGGGAGCACTTCCTGGAAACTGAGAATGGAGCTTCCTCTTGGGGAATAACAGTTAACCCGAAGACCTGGTTTGAGAGAGAAGAGAGAAAATCACAGACAGACGAGCAGTGTCTAGGGCCATGCTCGTTTCTGTTGGGACGCCTTAGAAACAGGAGTCTCCTGGATGGGAGGTGTAACCCAGGCAGGGGATGGTTGCTGAGCATCACCCTTGCCCCAGGGCTACTCTGTTCCCCAGCTACTGCTGGCCATGGGCAAGCCTTAGCTTTGTGGTTGGTAGAAGGAGCCACATGAGTCCAGGTTGGGGAGGTCATCTACTTCCCTGAGGGTCTCTTAGAACCCAGGGCTTAGACCTCAGCCCCCTCCCAAGCCCCAGAGAAGCCAACCTGGTGGGGTCTCTCCTTCCCACCCCTGTCTTCTAAGAGCATATCATTTGAGCTTGCTGGTTCCAGAAGCTGTGGTCTTTCATTGGGGGCCATCTCTCTGTCTTGTGGGGCAGCGTGGGGCCTCTGCAGAGGACAGGTGGGGACTAGGGTTGGGACAGGGCCTCTGGGCGGGGCAGGCCTCCCCTCGCAGCCTGATCCCAAAGGCATTCTCATGGCCCAGGGTGAGGCTGGGGTAAGTGTAACATCTTCTGGGCCCCAGTCGAGGCAAGAACCCAAGACACTGCTGTACCTGACCTATTTTTCCACGGCCCAGCATGGGTTGGGAGAGTTTCAGGTGTAACTAGCAGAGTATTTGAAGCATGGACTCTCTGCTGTGCTCTCTTAAATCAAGCCTCTGCCTCAAGGAGCTTGGGTAGGAGAGCTAATGCTACTGCTTCCAGAAGCTTAGGCTATGGATTGGGGAACAGATAGTTTTTCAGTGAGGACAGGGCTCCCTGTCAAGCCCAGGCTGAGAGAGGCCTGGGACATGGGCTCCAGGGAGCTCTTCTTTCCGCACCTCTTCCAACATGCTGGAAGAAAACCTGGAGCAGAAGGAAATGTTGACCCTGCAGGTGTGAGCAGGGTGGGAAGAGTGCAGATCAGGACGGTTGGGTATAAGCCAGGCCCATAGCTGTGTCTCCCTGACCAGGGGTGCAGGGCCTGCCTGGGCCCCCACTCATCTGACAGAGCTCAGAGAAGCCAGCTTCTCCCTCTCCTAGCCTTTCAGGTTTGCCATTTTCCACCTCTCTACTCAGTGTGAGTGAAACCAGTGCCACTGGACTATGCACTCTTCTCTTTCCTTAGGAATCTTTGTTTTGGGGGGGTTATCAGCTGCCACCCCTGCTCAAATTCTCAACCCTCCCTTCCTGTTGGGTCCCCAGCTGTGTGTGCTTGCCAATGAAGTAGGGAGAAAGCCCCATCCAAAACCCCTCCAGAGGGTTTTGGTGACATCTGCAGTAGGGCTCTGGTGACATCTGCTTTGCTGCTGAGGGGTAAGGGTTGGGGGACTAAAGATGACTTTGCATCCAGCGTAGCTAGCAGGTTATTTTGGATGAGTACATCAGGAAGGTCTGTGGCTCGAGGAACAGGTGGCCCTGGGACCGGGTCTCCTTAGGTCATTGGAGCCCTCAGGAAACTGTCAGAAGATACCTTCACTGCTTTTTTCTGAGAGGCTGACTTCTTCCAAGGGAGCATCCAGTCTGGCTTCTGTCTGGTGGCAGCTCTGAGCAGTCTGGGGACATCCTAGTTCTGTGGGAATTGCCATCCTGGCTGGGAATCCTTGCAAAGCTGATAATAGCTTGGACCTGGTGTCCCATCCAAGGCAACACTCCCCCCCCCCCCCCCCCCCCTTAAGCCCTGGGGGTATATGATGGGAGTGCTCACACCCCTTCCTATTGATGCAGGTTCGGGCACCTGTGGCCTCCCCTGGGAGGTGACTTGGGGAGACTGGGTGGTAAGGTGCCCAGGTAGACTGTTGATAACCTTGGGATGACACTGTACTTGCCATTGTGTTTATAGAGACATGTGAGAAAATAGCCTGTGTCATCTGTAATTCTCTCACCAAGACCCTCAAGCTGGAGAAGGGCTAAGGTGGATTTCTGAATGTGGGCCTTGGTCATAGGAGGGGAGCAGGAAATAGGTATTTGTATATGATGCCCTAGAGACAGGCCTTGCTCTTTTAAAGGGACTGAAGCTGTCTTCCTGGCAGCCTCCTTGGCAGAGTGGTTGGACCCAGGGTATGAGCTGGCTCTGCAGGGTAGCTGGGGACCTCAGCCCTGGGGGTCTGTGTGCTGGGTCCATACAGTCAAGGTTCTCTGCATACACAGGTTCTGCCTGAATGCTGCCCCATAGGCACTCCTCCTGCTGGCAGCACTGCTTCTACCTCCTGCAAGGGCAGCTGGCTTGGTCTGATGTGCGAGAGCATGTGTAGGACTGTGCATATGACTGTGTGTGTGTAGGTGGAACCTGCTGGCTTGGTCTGGCACGTGAGAACATGTATGGACAGTGTGCACATGAGAGTGTGTGTGTGCATGTGGGACCTGCTGGCTTGGTCTGGCATGTGCGAGTGTGTGTGGGACTGTACATGAGTGTGTGTGTGCAGGGGGCCTGCTAGCTTAGTCTGGCATGTGAGAGCGTGTGTGGGACTGTGCACATGAGAGTGTGTGTGTGCAGGGGGTCTGCTAGCTGGGTCTGGTGTGTAAGAG